AATGGAGTCATATGGACACAATTACATTCTGCCCTATGCATTTGTGAACAAGGTGTTCCCTCCCAATTACTACATGATAGTATGGAAAAATTGTTCTACCTATGAGTTAGGAGGGAGAACTCACAGTGGAGTAGCATCCACCATGCTTAACTTATAAGCAGTAAGGTCTCTTGCCTTCTCATAGAACTCTTGTCCTGTGCCTTCTTCTAGTAAAACGTGCGAAGTGGTGTTTTGTGTTTATATCACTGATGAATAATTCTGCCTGGTCATAGGAGTAAAGGCTTCAAGAAAACACAGTTAAAATATTTACAGCTATATGCTATTTGGGGATGGAATTTGGATGCCCTCAGCATTTCAGACGAATGAAATGATGACTTCCTTTATTCTGTGAAAATGTGCTTCACCCAGCAATATTCTAAACTGAGTTTAGAACTAAACTAGACTCTTCTCCCCACCTCAGCTTAGTATGGTGATTACAAAGCAACTCAGAGGAAAAAAGGTCTTTTTTTTTTTTTTTTTTTTTTTTCTAATAACTTTATGCAATGTTAAGACTTATCTGGGAAATTATTGGATTACATTCATAAAATCTGTCTCCCACATCCTTCCTAATTGGCAGCAAACACTTTCGGAATGGAGGTGGTGTCAATCTGGTGTTCTTCAAGGATTTTCTAGTTTCTTATACTTAAAATGACTTAAATGAAATCAAGAATAAATTCTGATTCTATTATGTGTTTTCCTGATGTACAACAGCCAACAGTGAAATGTAATTTAATCTATCCTGATTTAGAACTTGGCTCTCATCACTTTCCAGTTTCTTGCTGCAGAAATGAGCTACACCCAGTAATTGGAATAAAGATACTATATGATAAATAATAAAACAAAATTTGACCTTTAAAATTTACTAATTTCATCAGGAAACTAATACACAAGCTTTTTTTCAGGAGATCCAGCAACGTGGCTCTTACTTTTTTAATTAAAAAAAACGTCAACAGAGCTTGCTTAATTAAGAAGTTGATATCACTACTTCAGAAATATACTGTACTGCTCTACTTGAAGTAATCTTTCTAGGAGAGGTTTTTTTTTATAGCTGCACCACCACATTTTTCTGCTTTTGAGAAAATGCTTACTGTGAAGCATGTTATTTATGTAAAATCCCCTCCCTCACAAAACCAGCTAGAAATAATCCTAATAATTTCTCAAGTGCACAAAAGTCACAGCTCTGCACAGGCTAAAGCAAACATGTTAATTTTAAAAGAAGTCCTGTTAGAAATAAACTGGCTTACAAAAGCTCATAGAAAGACTATAGCATACAATATAACAAATACAGGAACAGCAGTGGAGCAGCATGCACCCTATGGCTAGGAGCAAATAGCACAAGCTGCTTGTGACAGATTTTTAATTAACATATCTTGCCTCTCACAAACAGAGGGAATGATGGAAATCAAAACACCATTAATGACTTGAAAGGAATACTGTCATTATGCTTCAGCCACAGGTCTGTCCCCCAGATCTGCATGTTGCTCTCTGAGTTAGTAAAAGTTTGTATGTCTTAGCAAGCAGATCTAATCAGCGTTTGTCTGATTTGGTTCCACGGAAGCCTGGTTTCCTTCATGCATGTTGGATACCCATGAATGATTTTATTTATACACTAATAATAATAATGTGAGGCTAAACAGGCACAAGATGAACAAAGCTTCCAAAGCAAAACAGGGCTTAACATCCTAAAACATGTTTATTGCATTCAAACATTTAAACACAGTGACTAAAAACTAGGGCTTCATACCTACACAAATGAGCACACATAAAGCAGCACAGGCTCACTTTGGACAACTTTTATTCATGCATGTCTGCATCCTTTTCAGACAGTATATTCTCCAGAAAAAAACCTTTGCCTTTCTTTGTAAAACCAGCAGGCCCATCATGCTGCCATGTCATTCTCCTTATCCTCCATTTCAGGAGATAAAGAACGGTACATACAGCGAAAGCACTGTAAAGTGCATAAATGTGAAAAAGTCTTGACTACATTTTTGCCAGAATACAGTGTAGTTGGTGCTTGCTAACAACCCTGTGTCAACAAAACCTCTGGTATCCATAAATTCATCAAGAAAAGAGGACACTCATTTAATGTAGCATCTAAATATATTTAGCACATTTAGAACAGCTTCATTCTTATATGAAGACTCTGACAACTCCAAGGTGCTCTCTTTTTTGTAGCATTTCAGCTTCTGCCACCAGCTATGGCAGACACATTTAGTCCTGTGAGGATTAGCCCTGTAACACTACTGTTCCATACTATGGCCTTTTGTTTATTTTTCTGTTGTCTTTTTAAGCTGTACATTTTTGCACACAACTACTAGATTAACAGCATTGACCACTGGTCCCATACAAATACAAACCTCAGGAAGAAAACAACTAAGAAGAAACTGAGTAAAGAATTTCAAATGCAATATGCTTGCTTTCCATACTTTAGGGAAATTAACTGCCATCTTTGACATTATTTTTCCTGTCAACAACAGGAGGTTAAAAATAGATGACTAAAATGCTTAGCTTCTTATTAGGCAGCAGAATTAGCTTAACATGTCCTGCAGGGCTGCAACATAAGTATGTTGAGATGGGCACAACACGAAATTCCAATGACACACTATAATATGGGTCTGGAGACAGATACATAAATATCCATGGCTAATGAGGCTATGCTTACATCACCATTTTGCTTTAAGGCAGAAGAGAAGTCTCATCCATTATAGGATAAGGGACAATGGTTCTAAACCAAAGGATGGGAGATTTTCACTGAATGTCAGGGATAAATTTTCACTGAAAAGGTGGCAAAGTGCTGGAATGCGTTGTTCAGAGAAGTTGTGGATGTTCCTGGAGGTATTCAAGGCTGGTTTGGGTGGGGCCCTGGGCAGCCTGCCCTCAGCAGCAGATGGAACTAGATGATCTTTGAGGTCCCTTCCAGCTCAAACCATTCTATAATCCATCATGTTTGACTTTAATTTGTGGAGCAATCCATAAATACATAAACCAGACTGAAATGAAGGTATGTTCTAACATATCTTCAGTGAGCAATACCTGGGACCAAACTAACAACCCAGCACAACCCAAAGAAAACATCTAAAATGCACTTAGTATAGCTGTAGTGTCCTTGGAAGTAAGTGTTTCGGTCTACAAATCTACTCCTATTAGTAAAACCTATTTGTCAATGTCATGCTTAAACAGGAGCTCTGCCCAGGTGTACAGTGGGACTACAGAAAGGTCTTAGCCCATTATGGTCCCTCAAAGAGTACATGCCAGACAGGGACAAAGGACCAGATAGTATCTAGTCTGATGGAAAAATCTCACACTTTATATCACTTACATGTAGAGAACTTAGAACGAAGTGTTCAGAAAGAGTGATCTGCTCCTCTGAAGCTCACTCTTGCAAATATCAGAAAAAAAACCTTATCATCTGTCAGATCCAGCAACAGACAAACTATAAACAAAATCTGAAATGCCATGAGCTTCAGCAGCGCCTGACTGAGTAAGTGTCTATGAGAGATAAACAGGATTTATACAATTAATAATGTATTCCTCAGATGTATAAGGTATTTCTTCAAAGGCTCTGAGCAAAGATAGATTTGTGGTTGCTTAGAGCCAAAAATAGATTTATTTATTTATTTATTTTAACGTTCAGAGCTACTACAAGAGGTAAAAAGACTGATGCTGTACTCACTAATCAGTGGCAACACAGAATTCCATTCACTCCTACTAAATGTCAGTGAGAAACAGTATTTACTAGTTCTGAAAAAAAAAAAAAAAAAAAAATCAAAATTCTGTCCAGAATTCTCAATAATTTCAGCCATGATAATAACATTAAGCAGATAACTTCTGACTCTATCTTAATTGATTAAATTTCATAGATTTAATCTACTCTTTCTTTCTGACACTTTTACAACTAGTTTGTGTCTACTTTCTCCAGCCTTCTGTATACCTTCACTGATTGGACACTCATTAACAAAGATTTAAGAGTTGCTCATACCCTCCTGATCTCAGTGTTACATCTCCCAAACCAAGAGAACATACTGAGGGAGTAAGAAAAAGATGACTTTTAGAAAGAGAGAGCTCAATTCAAACACTGTCAGCATTTCTCATCACTGTAGGATGAGAGAAGATGAACACAACAGTGCTAGAACTAATGTAATATACCAATCTAGTCGGTGTTAATCTACAAAGCAAACTGAAACAGAGCTTGAGCCAAACTGAAATGTAATTCCTAACCCAGTAACCTGTACTTGAAAAAGCAATAATGTCCTGCATGCATTTGCGTAGTAAGTTTTGAATACGTGATTCCAGATTTGCAAAGAAAGCAGCCAGAGCAACCAGAGGGCAGTCTCCAAGACCTGCAACATCTGGCTGCATCTTCCAGATGTTACTATAATGAGGAGCCATACAGGAATTACTCCTATTGGAATAATTAACTCACTAAGCCATGCTATTCTCTTCTCTCCATGAATATCTGAACAGAAAGACCCATCATCATACAAAGGATTATTTAATAAACAATTACCACATTTCCACAAGGCAGGAATTTCCCTCCATCTATGTTGTGTTTGTCCTGAAGGAGACAAGGCATTTCTGAACCAATGCTAAGGCTTGTTAATGAAGGCTTGTCAATACTTTTCATAGTGTTAAGGCATACAAGTTTCCCTCCATTCTGGCTTTTCCTAACATAAGCCTTAAACTCGCAATAATCCCCCCATGGAATCCTGTGGATGACTGTAGTTCTACACACAAGAAGCAGACTGTGCAACAGGACGTTGTAGTGAGACAGTGGCTCGTTCTGCGTGCATACCATGCCCAGGCCCACAGTGTCCTCTCACTGCCCATCTCCCTGATGAGGGAGCAGTGCAAGGTATACACTAAGCCCCACTTGACAAGTTGCAGTGAGATGCTGCTGTACGGGCAGTGGCAGCCACCACAGAGTAACGCCGACAGGAGGGTGCAGAGAGAGCGGGGATTACCTGCTGGGCCTGCTGAAGAAGCTCCATTCGCTCGTGCAAGATCTGGCTGTCAAACTCACGACTCTGCCTCAGGATCTGCCGCCGCACCTTCTCCACAGCAGCCCGCAAATCCTCCCTCTGGGCTTCAGTCAGCGATTCGCTCGCCCGCCTTCCCGTGTCCTGCTGCAGGGCATTATACAGCGTGGCTTCCAGCTCCTGGATTTTCTAAGGCAACCCAAATCACATACAGACAGGCTGCCGTTTGAACCCAACAAGCACACAACCCACCCGCAGCTCGAGGAGAAGGCCAGCGAGCACAGCCGTGGGCAGGAGGGAAGAAGGGCACAGACACGGGACAGGAACAGGACAGAAAGCAGCAGCCATGAGCAGTGAGGAGCATTCCACACACAGTGCGCAGAACCACCCAGCACCAGTACACACCTGGCTGATTTCTATTCTACTAAATGATTAATTTCTTCCTGGGTAATAGGTCTGCTTTTAATATGTGAGAAGACACCCAGAGCCCCGATACCGAAAATTACAAAATCACCGAAAACTGAAAGTTTCCCTTCTGTTGCGACTGAGTTGCTAAGTCACTCTACAAAATGAAAAGCCCGTAGCATACAGAAAAAAAGCTGTGAACAACAAAAATAGTAGTGCCTTTTCTCTCTGGCCTTACTGTCCTGCTATCCACTGCTCAATATCGACTTCACTCCCTTTGTTACCTATGACTGCAAGCAACAAGGAGAGAAACACTGCAGGGTGCACTAATCTCCTCAATCTCTCACTCTTTGTCAGACTGCTAATCAGATTCTAATACACCAACTCAAACTGAAGCAATTGACAAAGCAGAAAGCACAGGAGAACCTGTCTGGAGAACCATATTCCCAAGAGGAAAGAAAGAAAGGAATCATGACAGTATTTCTCTTGCTCCTGTGGTTAGCATATTTCTATATTTCCCTCTACAAAACAATATAGAATGCTATTTAGTTCAAAAACATCTGACAACATCCCTTTAGCCCTCTTAACACCTTTTTAAGGTAGGTAATTCTATCCATATTAGTGATGCATAAGCAGCAGCACAGAGAGGTTAAATGGCTTGCTCAAGGTCACAGTGCTAGAAATAGAGCCTGCTTGCTTCCATCTGTCATCTGCTCTGAGCATGAGACCTTGCTCCTTTCCTGAAAGTATTTTCCCCATAGGAAATATTTACGATGTATAAACAGTTCTTCGTGTCATTATATTTTGATTTCCTGAAGTCTCACTACTAAGAAAGTTAAGTGTGCGTTTTTGTCAATTCCTAGATCATTCCCAAGGCTTCATTTTGTGTTGCATAGCCTGAGAAAAGGCAAGGTTGTAGTATTCCACTTGAAAACTAGGAAAAGTAATGTTAGGTAGGACAGCACAGCACAGCAAGAAAGGGCATAGGAAGAATAAGCATTCCCAGCAATACTCACAAATGCTTAGGGAAAAGTAATACTGGAGGAGTTCTACAGTTATTTCTGGTATATTTTATCAGGATAGTTTCATGCACAGACAGACCAGCTCTTACCATTCTAGAAGTATTAACAACAATTTAATGCATTTTAGAATTTATAAACAACAACCACAAAACAAAAAAACATGACACGTCTAAATACTACAACTCCTCTCCTAAGTCCTCATTTACGTAGCAATTGATTTCCCTGACTGGTAGAACACTAGGTAAATTAAAAGAGAACTCTATTTAAAATCAAAAGAAAAAAAAATATTTTACCAAATCTGTTCAAACATGAAAATTGAATGACTGTTGTTTTCCTACCATGTATGCCTGGTCCAGTGCTTGTTTTCTGTAGTCGAGTTCTTCCTCTAAATAACCCTTCTGTTTACTGAACAGGTCCTAAGAAACAATAAAGCAAGGAAGTGTTTGTACTTTATCTTAATTCATGGAGAATCATAAATGCCATCATTTTCATGTAAACTCTCCGCTTGAAAGTAAAAGAAAAGCCGTAGTCAGTGACAACATTCATCAGAAGGATATTTGGATATCAAATTTACAACAGAGGCACTTAAAATATGTGCGTGCTATCAACAAGTTGTACCCAATAGCACAGACCTCTACATCAGCGTACAACGCTTCCTGGATCTGTTGCAACCAAAGGTAGGGAGGTGGATGCAAATGTGCATGCATGGATCCAATGTCAATTATGTGCAACAGATAGGTCAAGGAAGGGGTGGTGATAACAGCAGTGAGGGCACTTGAATGGTTTTCTGAAAATATCCAGTATGACCCTCAAGGAAATCATGAGACAACCCAAAATCTGTGTTGTTTAGCCTCTTCCAGGAAGAATATCAGAAGATGCAGGGCCCGAGCTAGATCTTGCAGCAATAATGCATGACATGTTAATGAAACAGGAATACAAATTCAGTTTTCAGCTTGTAGAGGTGGAAAGCCAATTCAAAATGGGTAATGTGATGCCCAGAGAGACTAAGTGACTATAGCTGCAGAGCTGAAGAAGTTTTTGACATGCCAAGGATTTGTATATATTTAAAATCAAATGAACTAACTTCCACAGAATTAATAACTTATAGCTGATATTTCAGTGAAACTCAGAATCTGAGAGGATGATTTTGTGAATATTTAAACAGTTTGAAGAATAGTCAAACTACAAGAAAAACATGCCTCTAGAGTGCTTCAGTGATAGTAAGTAGAACATAAAATAGTAGATTTTATTAATTTTCCTCTCTAGGTAGAAAGCAAAGGCCTTTTGATCAAATTTAGTATCATAAAGTTTGATTCTACTCAACAAACACTTGCAATCCATGCAGACATACATACAGCATGTAATACATAGAATAAATCACAATTTGTTTATACAGGAATCTTAATATGTTTGTTCTAGCTTTTATTAGTATATAAAACAAATGTCTCCAGTCTTGTTACATCCATCAACTTATTTTAGTACTATGACCATTTCCAAATATAACAGAAGGACTTGCTTGCAAACTATATATATGTTGACAATACAAAAAAATATTGAGGATTATCCCCAAGTAAACTACTTGGTCAAATTTTACCTTCAAACATTTAAAAACTGTTGGAATTGCACATGACATGCGTATGCCAGTGTAAAATTTGCATAGCTGTGAACAATACTGATGGCAAACTCTCACTGCAAACATCTGGTTTAAAAGAAATCTTTCCTGATCCACAAATTAATGCTTGACAGGATCTGTGATCCATCTAGAGAGACAGGGGTCTCTTGCAGGTGCTGCAGAACCTGTTTCCCAGCCTCTCACGGACATCATTCTGAAGAATATAATATGGTATTAGATACTATATTGAATCCCACCTCAACTGCCCAGGTGACATTATTTTCTTAGATAGCTTATGGCAACAGCTCCATGGCTGTTGTAGAAGACGTACTGTGTAAAGCAAAGTAAAGTACAGGCCTGGTCTGAAGCTGCTTACAAGTGGCTCACAGTAGAGTCAACGGACTTGCCCAAGACTACAGAGAAAATCAAGCTACCAGTAGATCCCAGAATAGCAGCACAGCTGCTCTGGGTCATATTACCTCTTCAAAAGCCATTGTAAAAGATAGCCAAGAAAGCAAGAGAGAGAGACCAAGAGTGAGATCTTGAATACTTTACATGGGCTCCAAGGACTTCTGGACCAGTGGCACGATATAATATTATTTCTAAACTCATTTCACAGTTCAGTTTTTAGAGACCATCAGCAATTCAGACTTTCAGATTGCTATTTTAACAATTAGACAGCAACATCTAAAAGCAATACAGACATTAAATGGGAAGATAAACTAAGTTAGAAAGAAATTGTCATTTTCCAATTCCTTATTTATAAAGAAACCTAATATTTCTGTGCACTTTGCCTCTCTAAAACTTTCCCATTTTTCCATAATGAATTAAAAATAGAAATGCTAAATGTGGGAAGGATACTTATATTCAAATAAAGCCAACATGATAGGCTATGCTCAACACAGTCTGAGCACTTCTCTTTTTGTACACTTCTTCAGCGGCTCTGGGTAAATCACTTAACCTCTCTGCCTCTGTTTCCTATTCTCTAAGATGCATGTAATGTTGATTACTATCTACCTGGAAAAGACGGTGAGGATTAAATTGTTTTTGTAAAGCTATTTGAAGATGAAAAGCACAGCAGGCATGGCAAACCAATAAAAAGAAGCAAATATTTCAAAACTCTTTGCTTAACACGTGAAAAGGTAAGGTTGTCAATCTAGAGTAAAAGGCCTTTACGATTTGTCCAGAGACTGAATATCAGAGAGCAAAGAAATATTCTTGACAATTCTTCTAGCATGATTAAAAAGATGTCATTGCCAGACAAATTAATGCAAAGAGAAAGCACAATTTCACACTGTTCAGTTAATCTGCTCTGTAAAGTTATACCTTTGTGTACTATTTTGTGTCTATTTTAGTATTTTTGCTCCAGATTGCCTTTGACACTTCCATCCCTCTCCAAAGAATACAAGCAAGAAACAGTTCTGGATACCTCTTGCAAATTCTACCATGAAACAATCTCAGTAAAGCAGAGAAAGGCAGCAAAGCAACCTGTGGTGAAGCTTAAAACTTGCTTTTGAAATGAGTTTAACCAAATGAATTATGTTTTTGGTGTTCTTTCCTTACCTTCTCATTCTCCAGGTCTAACATCTTCTGTGTCAGCGCAGCTTCTGTTCCCTCTATCTGTTTTAACCACTACATGAACACAGCAATATAAAAAGGAGAAAATGAGAAGTGAAAAACCAGAGCTTTTGAAAAATTTGCACCAAACATTCTCCAAGTTTGTTCCCAAAGTTCCCAGGCATACACTTCAGACATATTAATCTATTCACTTGAAGTAATGCATGACTAAGCAGGTTGTGAAAGCAAGCAGAATGGAAGACTGTAGAAACATAGTCAAAAGTAATGTGGAGATTATTTTCTAACAACTAGAGACTCCTTCCTCCTGTAAAATTCAACATTGACTTTGGTGAACAATGAAAAATCAACCTGATTTTTCCCAGCTTAATATATCAGTGCTTGTTGTCTTGATTTGTAAAAACATTATGATGGCATTAGCTCTGCACTTTCCCAGAAGACAATACAAACAAAAGACAAAGTGGCAAGCTTGAGCCTTTATTTTGCAGTTGATACTTTACTGATAATAGGTACACTTCTAAAACATCAGTAATGTAGAAGAAATAATAAAATGGAAACACAGAAGTTAACATTGTTGCTCTCACAAAACCCTTATTGTGGGGATAAGCAAAAAAAGAAAAAAGAAAAAGAGGATGAAGAATTTTACATATCATGAAAGCTAAATGCAGATATAGAAAGTACTTGCTTAATTACTTAATTAACAATCATCAGGACTATATTATATTCAGAATTTATCAGAATGAGTAGGAATGCTCTGTGTGTATTCATTTATTTTCTTTTTTATTGGTCTACAATAAGGATCAATGTTTTCAGAGAGCACAGTTTAGATTAATGCTTCTTTTCCAAGGTCCAGTTCCAATTAGGTCCAACCACAGCTTTGCCACTGAGGATGAATAATTATGGCTTTACTAGATTGCTGCTACTTAGTTTAATTCTTTGAATAAGGATTACACATCAACTTTTTGAATTTAGGATTTTGCTTTACAAATAAGCAAAATGTGAGTTAATGAATTTATGCTTTTGGATCTTCCACTATTCAAGAGTTTGACGGATAAAAAAATGAGTCTTGTTTTACCTACTTAGTATGTTTGTCTTAGAATACAAAGCTGAAAGAAATGACCAGGAACCTCATATTCAGTTCTCATCATAATCTTTGTGTTCTTCATTTTGAAGGTGATGGACGGAAGATATTGCTAAACAAAACTGCACCACTGATAAAGGATTCTGCAAGACAGTGAGCATTTGGAACCCTTGAAATCAATAGAAATTGAATGTACTCATCATCTCTCACAGTAACCCTCAATAGGTGCAAATGAAAGGTTGTTTGCAAGAATTAGAGGTCTAATTTTTTGAACCTATGGGTGACATGCAGAACTAAATTTTGATTCAGTTCTTCTCATGCAAGTCATTCTGGAGCCAAGGGGCACAAAAGGACAAGCAAGTATTTATGAGTCATAATCAGTTGTAGCATTCAAAGCAAGCTCCTGGTAATGTTCCAGCAGTACCCAGAAACCTTCTTTGCTTGATTTCCAAAAAAATTACTGCTAATGGCTGAGTATGATAGATTTGATTGAAATAAACATTAAGCGTGAATAACTAGCACACATGAATGTAACTAGCATATCTATGTCTGTAATGCCTTTGCTGTATCATTATAAGGTGATTACATATGATAGGTTCTCATAACTAAGGATCTATCCCTCACATAGCAGGACATCTGAGATAGTTACATTACAAGAGAAGAGGCATAGATTTATTTTGGATTTCTTCTAACCTAAATTGTCAATGCATCCAATAGGACTTATGTTAAAGCAATAATCTAGTCTTGTTTATCGGATATTGTATTTTACTTTGCATTTTATATCCCCCAACGTGTGCTGTAAAACAAAATTTTAAGAAAATGTGTGGTATTGTGTTTCTTACTTTGAAGACAGCATAGGACTATTTTCTCCTATTCCTTGTCTTCCTTGTCTTGGTAAATTTTGGATATGGATAGTGCTTTCTTACGGAGTTATTTGATTAGATTGTACTTCAAGTACCCACCAGGAAAAGGAAAAAAAGTTTCATGGTTCTCAGAGTATTCTTTTCATTAAATTGCCTGCCAGGTTGTGCTTATTAGGTTACTGTGACGCTCTGAATTAAACTATAGAAAAGTCCAAAGATGAACAACTTTTATTTCATTCATTTAATGTAGTCTATTTGCCTAGGAAAGATAAAATGAAAGACTCCAACTTTCTGAATGAGTGTTGAGTTTCTATAAAAATTGGATTCTATGGTAAAATGACTATAAAAATCCTTTAATGCAAACTAGGAAATGGCCATATAAACCCCACAAATGAACAAAACCAACCAAAAACAAAGCAAAAAAACTTCACTATTTTACTTGAAATGAAATTTAAGCACAACTTTTACTGCCATTAATTTTATGTTTCTATTAATTTGAAGAATTACTTCTGCTTACAAAACTAATGCTGTGATCTATTGCTACTGGAAATAACTTACAGATAAGAGTGAATTTTCTAAGCTGCACCACTGACACCAGTTAAAAAGTTGAATAATTCGAGTGACAGTTTTTATGCAAGGACTTATTTAATTAAGTAATGATAAGTCAGTCCCACCCCTAAAGGCTGGCCATATCTCATCTTTCCTAATCAGCCTTCTCCCGCCTACTGAATTTAAAGGACAGTGAACATTACCTCACGTTTTTCATGCTATAGTACAGTCAAAAGCTCTTTTAGCCGTCCTCCTCATTATTATTTTTTTGCTTATACTAATTAGTCACTTAAGTTAATAAATATTAAATTGCTCTATTTAGATTACCTAAGTTGAGATACTAAGATAAATAGATTAATAAAATAATGTCAGTTAAAGCAATGATAACTTATTCAACAAAATGCTCGGATTTCAATTTTAAACTTTTGTTTATGAATTTTAAAAGCATAGGAAAGATTTTGTAGTTAACTATGAAAGGAAGCGGTGAAGTTCCTTCACTAAAAAAAACCAAGAAGGTAAGATATTCTTAGTTCATTTTAAGTGTCATCATTACTCGTATGTAGATTATGTTCAGTCTGTAACTGGAGAAGTAAATAGTCGTTGAGTGACTTGCACTTTTTTGTTATTTTTGCCCACTATACAGATCAAAGGACCATGGGCTATTCAGGCTTCTCTGTCATGCATAGAAGTGGGCCAAAGTGGACTAATAGTGTGACTTAGAGAGAACATTGCAACAGCCCAGGAGAGTCCCCTGGAGAATGTTGGCTTTTCTCAGAATGAAGCTGCTCTTGTCCAGAGGCTTTTTAGTAACTTATTCTAAGACATATCTCCAGAGAAAGTTTTTATTTTTTAAATTGATCTTATTTGAGTGTTAGATTACATCTTAAAACATCACAATCCTAATAAAATCATGTAAAGATGAATATATGCTCCTTTCCAGATCCCTTTAACAGGAAAATCATGCTTCTCTGACAAAGCTACATGAGATCTCAACAGACATGGTTGGTCTTTTAGGCAGACAAAAATTTTTACTGAGTTCTACCTTTTCACAGAGAGAAAGTACAGTCCCAGCTTGGATTATTGCAACCTGTTCTTCATTTCTCAAATTCTAAAATACAAAAAAATGCATTTTAAATTGGATTGGAAATCCATTCTTCAATACAAGTGATGAATTTTAACTGCAATGTAGAGAATCAAAGTAAACAAGTTACATTTAGTACTTTATAAACACGTTCAGAAAAAGTGTAATGACTGAAAATTTAGAAAAGTGCTTCATCTCTGCTCTAATTCAACATACCATTCAACAGTTCTTTTGCATCTGTTTATTATTTCATGAGAACCAAGTTGTTTTTGTCAAGGATTTTGAATTTTTTTTTCTAGCCATACAAAATAGCAGTTTGCTATATTATATATATAGCTATGCAGCAGTGAAGGTTCCCTCAAGTCCAGTTCAGAGCCATGCCTCTATTCCTTAAAGGCATATAAAAGAGCAACTCCTATAGAAATATCCACACAATTTGCAGCATAAAAAAATAGATCTGGAACTTAAAATTAGTACAGTAAATATGCCAAACTGTTAAAGCTACCTGTAAACATCTCCATGGTTCTTTGTGCCCCAACTGTAGAACCAGAAATTTATTTGGTATTTGGCAATGCAGGGGAAGTTATCCTTGCAGTTTTTCCCAGTAAACATCCTCCTGCAGAGGCATCCTCATTGCAGCAGGTACTGCTATTACCACCTAAGAGATACAAACTGGTTCTGGCTTTGACTCCCTTGATTTTCTCCCCTAGGTTGCTTTATGCCTCATTCTTGCACCTACTACAGAGTCCGTTCTTTCAAGTCATTCAGCCATGATCAAATCCTGTCTTGAGGAAATACACTTTAACTTCAATTTATCTGAAATCTTTTGTATAAGTAGTGTCTGATGATTCACATTTTTAATACAAATAGAGACATATAAAAATCACTCTACATTTTCTTATGTGTTATTCTGTGCAGTGGAAAAAAAACCCAACTGCTTGAAAACAACAATAAAGCTAGTATTACATTTAAAATTAAAAATCATTACCCCATTATCTCCAAGAATATCTAGTTTCTTCATGAGTTCTGATATATTCACATCCTGAAAAAGATGTTCAATACCATTTTTTATAAAGAAGGTGAGAAACAGTTTTACATGCTGCATTTTAGGCACCTTTGCATGCAGACTCTTGAAATGCCAATAAGTTAAACGTGAGTTTTGCATCATAACTACAAAAGTGTTACTGATAATTTCAGAAACAAAGTCAAATATCACTTGAATACAGCAAGCTACCCTGAGATCTGTGCATCCTGCTGATGTACACCAGTGAATGAACAAAACTGATAAACAGACATAAAGTACCTTTATTTTTCCCCCTCACAGTTTGGTGTGGAGTGTGAAGCACATCAGGCCATAGAAATTAAAGGGACAGTAAAATAATAACTAAGAAGGTATGTTGTTGTTTTTTTCTCTGCTTGAGCAAAACAGAAGAGTTCCAGATCAGCATTTTCATGGCAGAGGGGAATGTGCACAGAGGGCTAAATGTGCTCCTGCAAAAACTGCTAACTCACAACCTCTCTGAGTAGAAAACCACGTTTCTCTGCCAGTCACCCCCATATCCACAGAGAACAGCAACCAGTCACTGCAACCAAGGCAAACACTTCACTGATACAAAAAAAAGAGGAGGAATACATCCACAGATGATGAGATTTAAAAGTGCCAAGGACCATTCCTAGGCAGCAGAACTCTATTTTCTACTGTAAAAAGTTATTGTAAAGGTTCCTGGAACTGCTTAACCTGTGATAACAACACATACTAGAATGATTTCATGTTTGGCCCACAGATTATTGTGGAGCAGGGATATTTCCTTTGACTGCTTGTATGTAGTTGTGCTTTTTGAAGGTAAGAAGGCTTGATTGGATGAGTACAGACCGGCTGATGTTAGTCCAAAAATGTTCAATATACACACATAAAAAGACAGCCATTATAATGCTGGCACCCTCAACTTCTCATATTCAGCACTTCTTAGCAGAGATCAGCATTCCCCAATGGCTGTACCTTGGCTCATTAGTTTCATTACTTACAGCATGTTACATGCTGGTTTCCATCTGTGTGCTATGCAGTTGCATGGTACAAGAAGTCAGGATGAGTGATCTTTCAATTTCTTTGAAGTGAAATTAGCTGTGCTTGCAAAGTACATAACTATATCAGAATATATTTGCTCACTGTTCCACATCCAATAGACTCCAGTGAGTAAGGTTTAATAAGGAATTGAAAGATTGCCTGAAAATCACAGCTGTGGAAGAGAGTCTGTATAAAATGGAATACTCTGGCTCCAATAAGGAATCATGTATTACATTTGTCTATCATGGGAAGTACACTTCCTCTCTTGCCATCCACCTCAACACTGCAGCACTGCATCTACATGCCACAGCAGCTACTAAACAGCGCACATCAGTAATTTTAGAATGGAGCAGAGCTTAAAATACTCTTGTATTTGGACTGAATTGAAGTCAAAGCTAATGATTCTGATCAGCAGAATCATTATGACAATGTTGAACAGAAACTTTAGCTGACCCTTCACTGGTGAGGATTTGGAATTCAGTAAGACATGCCAGTTCTTAGCCCTATTAAACCCAAAATTCTCATTCTAGTTAATTTCCACAAAGAAGCAAAAAGAAATATTTAAAACTCAAAGCAGATTTTCTATCACTCTGAAACTGAAAACATTTAAAAGCAAACAATTTAATATGCCCATATGAGTTGACCATCTCTGCTTCCAGGCAAATAAATTGAAAGAATTGAAAGAAAAAAAAGTAATAAAAATAATAAGAAAGAAAGAAAGAAAAATCTTTCATGCAACAGAAGACCGTAGTTAAAAATGAATCCTGTACCAGCTACAGTCAACATGCAAATTAGAATAACAAATATGTTAACAGCAGATCTGGCATCCTCTGGAGGCTCTATTTGAAAGGTGATATGCTTGGTGGTTGGAGCATGAACTTTATAATCCCTTCCAACCAAAACTCGTCTGTGACTATATGTTAGTTAATGACAGTCAATGTGATTTAGGGACATGACTAGATTGACTTTTAAATTTTTTTGTAAAGATTCAGTTCCCCGTATATACATATATATATATAAGAGAGAGAGAGAGAACTACACATCCTACACTCTCAGTCGATTTCCTCTACTGATAGTATTACACTTATTAAAGGACTGAACAGAAACCAGCCTTCTGTTAAAGAGCTTGTAAACTGACCAGTCTTCATTTTCATTTACAAAAGCCTTACAAATGACCACAACGTATTCTTATGAAGCCCTTTACCAAGTTGAAAATGTATTTTCTTACTATACTTATTTTTCAGATTTTCTTCCCTACAGCAAGATAATAATAATGGAAAACCAATCATTTGAATATTAAGTTCTTCATTCTGGCCATCCAACAGTTCCTAATGCCCAACATATACCTTTATTCCTTCATGCTGACAGAACAGTTGCAGCGCGCTTCCATTGTTTTCAGGGAAGGTGGTTAAGTGAAGATTAAATGCTGGCGACCTTCGTTCTCTCTCCTGAGGAAAGATTTTATTTAAAAACAAGATGTGTGATTAACACATATCATTAAAAAAAAAAAAAAAAAAAAAAAAGACTTGTACATTAAAAACACAGATTTCTTTTCATATTCCAAATTTGTGGAATTTCCTCCTGTGTTCACCATACTTGAAAGACTTTGGGCTTAGCTAAGCACACAAAATAATTTTGAGTTCCAGTTGATTCTATGTACACAAAGAGTTTGCAAAACAAATACCTACACTTCAGTAGAAGAAACTCTTTTATGCTGCCCAAATTACTGACTGGAGCAATTGTAGCTATTGCAATAATTAATTCCAGTCACGGTCTTATATAACTATTGTTCTCTTTCAAGAAAAAAGTGATCATTTAGCAATAAGAAACTGCAGGAAAAAATGTAAACTCTGTCACCAAGTAATATGGTTATGTATTCCACCTAAAAAAAATTAAAGCTCTATATCTACTCTATTCTACAGTTATCCTTTGGATTAGAACATGTAAAATCCTGTCTTATTCACTGCACAATCCCAGATGTTGCAATATGCCTTTATGCCAAAAGTAAAAAATTATAAATTCTCATCCAACCCATCTACTTGATTTTCATGTGTTTCTTCAAAATATCAACCTATTATTTCTTCAGAAGACAAAAAGAGAATAAAACAACAAATAAGACCTTACTTAAGTGAAATTTCAAGATATTTCTGGGAATGACTGGAATAAGACTGCAAATCAAGGCACTAGGATGCACAATGAGCAAGCTCACTATGGCCATGGGAACCCAGGCGAGAAAAACTGGATTTCCTCTCCTAACAAGAAGAGGCATTGCCAACATTGCCTTCAGTTTCAGTTTTAATGAAAGAGAGTTGCTGCAAATTCAGTAAGTTCTGTTCAAGCATTACCTGATTTCTAAACCACAAAGGAGGTGCTTCAATTGGTAATCACAAGTGGGAAGCGCCCATTCACTTAAGCGGGTTACAAAGTACAGCAGCTCTTGTTCATTGACTAGTCAAGCTAGGACCAACAATATGGAGGGAAAAATATCTCTTCATTTTACATATTTTTTTCATCGCATAATCATTATTTTAAATAGTTTTTCTATTAGCAGCATAATTTTGAAATGGATTTAAGTGACCTAGCTATTCAGAGACAAAACAGAAGCTTAATTCTTTTCCAAATTCAATTACCAATTTAGATTTTTTTATTTTTTTTTTAATTAGTGACTTGCTATTACACTAAACTCACCTGGATTTGCTTGTGTTAAATTATGTAGAACTGGTTCTGTTTTCTACATTTATGTAATTTTTATCTGACACAGTTTAGGTGTTCTGAAAAAAATATTCTGGTTATGAGAAGTGTTCATGACTTTACTAAAGCATTCACGTTGTCAATCACGTTTGTGTCTAAATGCTTGCCCACAAACGAAAAATGTCATTTACTGCAATCATACAAAAATACTCCCCTTGTTATCCTGTGAAATAAGTCCTTAAATATTTGGCAGATAATGAAACTAGACCATTTAAGCTGAACTACTTTTCAAGTGATTTTTGTATGTGGAAAATACTTTCCTGAAGAATGTTTTGAAGCAATTTTCCTTTCAAGGGCATTTTTTGAGACTGCTGTACTTCTAAGAACACTTAAATTTTAATGAGCAGATTCTAAGGTAACTGAAATTCTGAAAGCTGAATTGTTCAGGATTTTAATCTACAGTTGTTCAGCATTCTAATCTACAGTTGCTTAATAAAATATAAAGAGTATATATTAGAAAGTACTTTTATTTTCCAGAACACGTACTGAAATTCTAATAACGTAAATTCTTAATTTTGAATATAATATACTATGATATATGGTTGATAAAATAAATGATTAAAAATAGATTAAGAAATGTCAAAGGTAAAAGAAAAAGAGAAATGTCCACACAACAGGATGACATGACGTTTTCATCTTTATCAGAAAAGTTGCACATGCCAAGATTTTTGGTGAAACGTGCTGGGTGATGAAAATTATGGAGAAGTGACTCTGAGAGAGTTCCGGGAGTTTATTCAAGATGGTGTTGAGACGGCTGATGATCTCTGATATTGAACTACATGTTATCAGACAGTATGACTGCGGGACTGCATCTCACACAAGCTGTTTACTCACACTGAATTTTACATGGGTCTCGTTTACAAGGCAACGAGGACTATTGTTTTCTACTGTGATCAGAGGCTACGTGTTCAAACTGTTATTCATGAAAATAATTTCACAGTTATTTCACAGAATTTGTTAAAGAAGTTTGCTATGGGCAACTTCCCACTTCCACAAATTGTACTCGTGCCTCACCTCTAACACTGACTTTCTTAGAGGTTTATTTTCCTTCTTCTGAGTGGTGAAAATTATTTTCATCCCATGAGCATCTTATACCATCAGAAAATATATTTCAGGTAAGAAAAACTAAAAACTACTTTGTTCTTTTGATACCGTTTTACTTCATACTACTGCTGTCAATCTTAAATCAGTGTAATTAAAAGCAATTGATGTGATGGATGTGTCAGATCTTTAGAATTCACTGCATGCAAGATGTGAGAAGGTGTGTTAATTGAAGCAATGCCAAACGAGGCTGTAGTATACATACCAAGTGATTTCACATGCAGGAAAGGAGTAGTTATGGAAATGAAACAAATAAAAAAGGCAAAATATTGCAAAACAAAATATTTTATTAGATGTAAAACAAACTATATGCAATATATATTAGCTATATTACATCTTTATAAACACAAGTGAGTACTCTCTCCAAAACATATTAAGGCAGTGGTATCAATCTCATTATCCCAAGATACAACATTTAAAAAATATATACCTAAGTGACTTCCCTTAAACATGCACCAGACATCAGTAATCTTTACAGGAATTTCAGCTTGGGTTCAAACATAATTTCTGCTCCATTTGAGAGTTTGCAACAGAGAGAATCTCTTACTTCAAGCTCTAGCACTCTGAATTCTAACAGCTCATTCTGGTCTTTTGCATCTTGCATCTCGTTCTTCAGCTGCTGCTCTTCTTGCTCCATTCTGTAAATCTATGAGAAAAACACAACATCTAACATCCTGTAAATAACAGAAAGGGAATTATACTGAGTTATGGGTCAGAGTTTCAGGCAAAACTGTTACTTGAGTTTCTCATTAGATGTTGGACCTTGCCTTGGGCATAGAGAAGAAGCATCACATCTGAAAGTATTTGTAAGAACCAGCAGAACAGTAATTTGGAAGCCAGTATGAAAAGCTGTATGAGCATTACATCTAAACAAGTGAGGAAATACAAGCTTACTTTTAACATCAGGTGAATAAAACTGATTAACTTTGGGCAGACTGTTCTGCTTATCTTTGTGAAAACAACATATAATGGAGAATAATGGAGGGTTTTTTAACTATTATTTTTAATTTTCCAGATTTCTGCTTTGGGACACTAACAGTGATAAAACAGAAATTCAAAATTGACCCTCATTATGTCAACTAATACCTTTGGTCTACTGTCTGGCTTAATTGTGTGGTCTTTTTAGTTAGTGAAACTGGACTGAAGAGGAGCACCTGAATATGATACAGCAGACCGTGATGGTGCAGTTACTTAGAATAGCCATGCATGTGTCTGGACAAATCAAGTCCAGCTGTAATTGCTTTCATTCGTGCACTTTATCTTGTTCCTATTGTGTTAATATTGTTCTACATTTACTAAGAACAAAAATAATTGTTACATTCTAAGTATCAGCTAACTTTTCTACCTACATTAGTAAAGACCAATGAGGATGTTTAGCTTTGAATATTTCAGACAATAAAAGGTATAATAGTCTACAATGAATTAATACTATTTAATGTGAAAAAACTGCTGAAGTGAGCAGATAATTTTGGAATTTTAGTTTGAATGGTCCTGGCAGTAAGAATCTTTGCGTAACTGGTAAAATTTCATATTACCATGGTTATGTTTTGGCAGAAACTTGAATGATCAGACACACTGGCTATACAACATAGTAGTAGTGCCACAATAAAGTGCAGTTTCCATTCCCAAAGAATACATAAGTATATTAGCACTTTAATTGGAGAAAATCAGAATTTCTGTTTCTGGAGAAAAATAAAGAATGCAATTTTTATGTTGATGACCCCATGTACATTCCTTTCCTTTTGCCACTCGTTTTATGATAAAGCACAGAAATTGCCAAAAAAAAAAAAAAAAAAAAAGCACAGAAATTGCCAAAAAAAAAAAATTGCCAAACTCTGAACATATACCTTCTCTAGTAACTCCTGATTTGTTCTGATTAGCAACTGCTTCTCTTCAACCCATTTTGAATCCTATGAGGAAGAAGAAAATTTAGAAGATAACATATATTTTGTTGAACAAGACAAATAAGTACAGTTAGAAAATTCCAGACCATTGCACACTCATGTAAGGAAATGATCACTCATCAATTTACTTTAAAAGGTTTATATACAGTAACTCTGGGTAAACACACATATATGATATTTTGTCATTTTAAAAAGATTTATTTATTCAACTTAGCTTAATTCAAAACTATTTATTTTCCACTGAAAGAAGCCGAGAACTCTCTTGCAAAATCATCTGATTTTGAATTTTATAACATAAATCCAACTGGAGAAGAAGAAAAAAAATGTATTATTACACAAAACAAATGAAATTTAGTTTCAGAGACATACAGTCAGTTGCTCTCTGGTAGAAGAGTGAGAATCAGGCTAATACACAGTGTTTGTGACAGGGAATTTAAGACAATGGAAGAAGGATGATGATATAAGATTCTCCAATTGAAAACTGTGTTTCTATTTGATCATTTGTTCCAAAGCTGATCTTTGCTTTTAGGTTTTTCTGTGGCTTTAACTGACCTCATCAAACACCCCAGATTACAAAAACAAAGATAGATATTCAGACTTTATGGATTCTAACATCATTCTATTCACTATAGAGAAAAGTATTTGCACAACCTGGCTCATTGTGCTTTATGATATTATTTTCTAGGTAAAAAAGACAACTTGTTTAAAATCTAAGTGATTTTCTAAAGTAAGGCTGATACTCTTTGTCAGCAAAGATTTTGCACGTTGATACTGCAGTAGAAAATAATGAAATAGGGCCATCCAAACCCTATAAATAGCCTTGAATGGCCAGCTATAAGAAAAAAATATTTAACCCACTTTCTTTTTTTAAGTTTGAAGTTTGATTTTCTACTTACAGAGAACAAGTTTCACACTCTACTGCCTTTATTCCTTTTCCTATTTGTCAAAGAAGTGTGGGCCAGCACATTTTAACTTCCATGCAACAAACAATTTGTTCTGTTATGGAGTTAAAGGAGACATACCAAGAATACAGTACCAAGATTAGTACTGAAAAACATTGTATTTGTCAAGAATTTTTTAAATAAATAAAAAAAACTAATTAGTCAAGATTCAAATTACTTTTTAACTACAAGATTTCAATTTTTGTTCTGAATTTGATATCAAGAGAGCTGGTAAAGTCTTCACAGCTTCTGTTTCCTACAGTTGTAATATTGGACTAAAATATCCTGGGATAACTCAGTAGAATCTTTTAATTCACTGCTTCCTTTATGAAAATATGTTATGGAATGGTTCTCCAAATGAACATTTCACAAGTCTGATCAAATAGTCAACATTGTTATGACCTACTAGATGACAAAGTAATTTCAAAAAATGACATAGGGCACAAAGATGTCAGTTTATTATCATAATCATTTATTTTGTTGAATATAAGGACTAACAAGTTAGGAAACTAAGTAGGTTCTTCAGCTCTCAGGAAGACACTGTGACAAATTCTGTGAAAATCTAATGCTAGTGTACAAACTAGCCCAATAGGTATACTACTGTATTGCTCCTTATCACATCCCTGTTGGCCTTCTCAGGATTACTAAGAGATTAAAGGTCATGAATATGGTTAAGAATCCCATAACGTAATAAACTACCTAAATTCTTATTTCCAGACATTTATTTTTCATATTGCCATTCAAGAAACAAGTCTCAGAAGTAATTTCTTGCATGTGTATCCATTTTCTCTTGTCATGTTTACACACATACTGCTTGTATTTTACTCTGTAATAGTCAATTATTTTGTTGCTGTTTTCAGTTACACAGCAATTTGCCTACATCACCATTATCATCAACACATGAAAACGTAGTTGATCCTCATGAGGTTTTCAGTTCCAACTATTCCTCCAAAACCTCAACAAGTCATCATTTTTATATTGATAACATATTTCTTAATAATATTTTACTTACATAGAATTTACTAAGCAAATTGCAGTTGGTATGGAAGTGAGCATAAACAATTTTTATCAGTTTTTATCAATTTTATCAATTTAAATACGGTTCCCAAGCATTCAAATTTATACAGAAACTTGCAGAAAGTTTTCTTATATAGAACTATACACGATATAGAAACTATAAAAATATCAATAGTGTTAACCTGACATAACTTGTAGGTTGCTTTCATTTGGTATTTTAGGATTATTAGTCTTCAAAATGTTTATCTACAGATAAATAACCCAATTTTATTGCCATATACTACCAGCAATCTTAAGCTGTTATTTTAAACAATAAAGAAATGATAAAATAACATCCAATTTTCTGTGTGTTCTAGCACTTATGCATCTGAACATCTTTTAAATCCACCATTCATTCTCCTATCAGTCTTACTGACTATCCTAAATATTATTAAATATGCATTGAATATGCATTAGCCAGATCTTTGCAGTTATTTACAAGGTACAGGGAAGCCCAATTTTACTCTGTGTGACGTTATGGCAATTTGAAAGTTGTTGTGTCCTCCAAGAAATGAAGCTCAGAAGAGTTTACACAGCAAGTGGCTTCCAGTGGCCAGATACACTCGGCAGTTTATTGCTCCAGAATATAGGGAAGTTAATTTTTTTCTTCTAAATTTTCCTGTGTTACACACCAAAATATTCTATGATACAGAATACTCATCTTGTTGGAATTTATAGCAAAGACAAAACAGAAAAGAGAGAAAACTACCCTGAATGACAGTAGGAACAGAATTTAGAATGCATGTATATGTGGATAATTCTCTATTACACTGACTGTACTACGTATTAAAAAAAGAATCTTTGGTGGTTAGCATAAATACCATTTTCCTTTAAATAATCCACTGCTGGAGTACTAATTAAACTGCATTGGACACATTAACACACCAGCAAGCAATGAAGATGGCAAGGGCACCACTGCATGCAAGAGAGAAAATGATGTTGTAGAGGACATTAAGAGAGCCTTTTACCTGGCCTTTCTCAATTAGTGCTTTCTCCAGGTCCTCAATTTTTGCCTGACATCGGAGAAGATCAGCTTGCAGTTGTTCACGAGTCTGAGGAAAAAAGAAAATTGTATTATAAAGTGCATATTTAATCACATGTGGAATGAAGTTGATTCTCTTTTGGATCATCTAATCAGCTTTTAATGCTTCTCATTAAAATAAATGCTTTTGAGTTTATGCTAAAAAAATATTTAAAAGACATCAGTTTAAGAGTATTTTTCACTCCTAGTGTATGTGGTCTCTAGTCTATACATATTCTGTGATCAAGCTCTTCTCATAAAAAAAATAATGTTAGGAACTGAAATAGTTCTTCATAGTTCGTCATAGGAAGCTGTTCATGAAAAAAGTGGAAGACAGAAGGAAAAAAGTGCAAGACAGAATTGCAGTAAGCACTGAATAAGCTCCTAACAGTTAAACTATTTGAAGAGCTATACGAAAATAAAATATATTGACCCAAAATAATGCATTTACCCTTTGATTGCATACACCACTGCGTTTTCCTCTTTCTATACAATTTCTAAACCATCTACCCACCATGTTCAGAGATGTCCTAAAAGAGACTGAATCATACAAGTAAATAAACAAAAGATGTACAAAAGGCAAGATCTCTGGAGATTCTCAGTTACTGAGAATCCTTGAGCTACTACAATTATTCTTCCTATCCAACTTCAGCTACTTTTTCACATAAGCAGTTCAAAAATTTCCGTAAGGATTTCTTTCTGCATCTTCAGGTCCTTGTTATTTACCTTAAGCCTCATCCAAAAGTAGAAGGAACACCAGAACAGTGTGCCTTGCAAAATTAACCATGCAAAAAGCTACCTTCTGAAAATCTTCAACTCCCTCAAAAATGTCATTAATAAGAAGGAGAAATCATTTTGTAAAAGATAATTTTAAAAAGCTGTAACGAAAATATTCATATCATTGCCTTTCTTCCCATGAAGGCAGAGGCAATATGCAATGGTCTCACAATTTTCAAGTACATCATTGCCTCTGAAATCAAAATTTAACAGTAGCTGTAGTAATGCTACCATATCCTGCTGTGCAAAATTTTTTCAGCTTTTCCAAATATTTCAGAGATAAAAGGAATTGCAATTAAAATAATTACCCTTGCTTCTCTCTCTGCATCCAGGGTTCCACCAACTTGTTCTTGAAGCAATGCATATGCTCTTTGCAAAGCTTGATATTCTCTTGTTAGCTGGCAGAATCTTAGTTCAGCTTCTTCTTTAGGTGTGCTCTTAGTGAAGAGGAAAAACAGGCGTTTTTGTGTACGTAACAATAAATGCAAATAATATTTTATTTTTGTATCTATAGAGACAACAAGTAACACAACTCGTCTGAGTTTCAAACTTCAAGAAAGCTGTAAGAAAAATGACATGAGTAGAAACGAAAGGAAAAATGGTTTAAAAATGAATGAGAAATGCAGAGCTCAGCAGATACACTTACCTTAAAACTGCAGGACAATGTCAGCTGCTATATAAAGCAGTAATACATAGAAATTTCAAGAAACTGACTGAGAAACCATGACGTGAAACAGTTGCGTTTATCACTTTTCTTCATCAACTTCAGTGCCACAAGGTATAAATCCTACTTGTCACACAGTCCATCACTCCATTACTCTTTGTCTCCACACACCAGCATAAAGAACTTTACCAGCACAAGCACACTATCACAGCGGCTTCATCTCAGTAGCATTAAGATTCTTTTTTTGTTTTTTTTTTCCCCCAGTAATATTAACATCTGAAGGTGCTTAGAATTTTAAAAAACTGACATCAACAATTTCAAGATCTTTTCTATAATGCTGAGGCCAAGAAAAGTCCTTTAATTAGTTTTTGCTCCTGGAAGTCAAGCTACAAGGAAAAGAAATTAAAATATTACTAGATATTAAAGCTAGAAAAATAGGAAGCCCATTACAAGTGAATAATGGAAGTCATAAGTTAGCAAATAGGACAGATAGATGAAAGACAATTTAGTTCAATCTTTGTCCTCAGCTCTGCAATCTTCTGAAGCAGGTCAACTGCAGCATGTATCACAGAGCTCAGACAAAACATGACGGTGGATATTTACTCCCTATAATCACTTAAGCCTCACTGAACTGTAAAAGCTTCTCTCAGTATCTTGAAAACAGAAAAAAAAAAAAATCATGGTTGTATAAAAACAGTCAAATTATAAAGTCAAAAGGCAAACTGAAGTCTAGTTTTGGCAAAGCAACATGCTTTGTTTCTCAGCTCAGTATCAACCGAATCTAACAGGCAGAATCTTATTTTATTACAGTGACTGTGGGGTTTGAAATTGGACTTGAAACAGAACAAAACAATTCTCTGCAAAAGCTTTCATACAAAAAGCTTTTTGTTTTGTAGCTGCAAAAATGGTTGCTCTTATATTTTGTGCCAATTTTAATAGAAGTTAAAGAACAAATAATCTGCTACTTACATCTTCCAAATCTTCCTCTGGTGTGGCTGGTGTCCTGTCTGTTTTATCTGTGTTATATGAAGTTACAGATGATGTTTCTGAGTCTAAGGATTCTTCATCAAATCCAAAAAATGTCTCCACAACATGCCTCTGAAAATTTAGTTTTCCTCAGTTATTAGCAAAACAATTAGAAAACCCCAACGACCCAGTAAACAGCAGTCAAGATCTTCTCTGACCATTCAGGAAGAAAAACAACCCGTGTAAACTCTTGTTCCATTGAATTAGTTACCTTTCCATTACTGTTTGCTAAGGCAGAACTCCAAGTAGTAGTGGGAAATTGTTAGTAAAGTAATGCTTTAGCACAAACATAAATACTAATTTCCAAAGTCATAAAGATCTGATTCACAAGATTCGCAGTGGAGGACTGCAGTATCTATTTGGATGTAACCTCAAAGTAAGCTGTGAGGGATACATTGGTGCCTACATTTACACACACACTGCACTTACAGCCTGCAGCTCTGGTCCCCCATGGTCCATCTCACCAGGTTACCACGGTCTACCAGTTCTAGCTCTCATCATTTGTTAGCTAAACAGCTCTGTAATTGTTTCACATACAGCTAATCCCACTCACACTACTGAAGTCATTCTCAAGGCCATGTCCCAAGCAATTGCTTTCTTTGAGATGAGAATACCAGATAACAATTAAAAATATAATTCAAACTGACTTGTAAACTAACTGATATTACGAAAAGCTCCAGAAAGGATGCTATGCACTCAAAAAAGAAGTCACTTGTTCTCCAAATCTGTATATCCATCCACAGACATACAGATAAACCAGATGCTATACAGGTAGACAAAAGCTTTAGAACAGTCTTCAGAAACCAATCTTATTCTTGTAAGCTACTAACCCACTAGCATTACTGTTGGGTATAGTCACAGGGAGTGTAGTTGTTGTATTAAAAACCTATAATGGTCCGTTACTGCTCTGTCCTACAGGAAGCTCTGCAATCCTAGTGCTGTGAGCAGCAGAACTGCCAGATGCACTTAAGATTAACACTTCCCTGCCTTATAGGGAGTTTCCATGTATAGCTTTAAGAGTTGAATCACAATGGCTCTTGAAAAGAATATGTGCACATGTACAATACTCACTGGATTTTGGTAACTACATGGTTTTCATTGAAGATTTATTCAAGCTTTTCTTAAGAAGCAGGAAAGCTCTCAACAAGTTATGCTTTTATACTGATATGTGAATTCAATTGTTACTTCTAAATCATAACTGAGAAAAGTCAAATCAGTTGCTGAAGAATTCTGATCTGAATTCTAATTTCCTCTGACTACTCTCACATATTTGATAGAAAGTATTTTTAATGTGAATTTATATCAATTCCTTCACATAATTTTGAAGTAAAATTATGCATTAGGCTTTTGTAAGTCCAGTACTAAGGCTCCTACTGGAGCACAGTACTAGTAAATATAAAAGTTTAGAATGTTACAGAATGTTACAGAGCAAGACATAGAATGTATAGTATGCATATTTCAAGATACCCTCACATTTTTAATGGTAATCTGATTGCTGGGTTTCTAAAGCAGTTTCATGGCCAAATATCCAGTTTTTCAATAAATTAATCTAACGTGATGAAAATTATCAGGATGAATTTCCCTGCAATTCAATCAGAGGAACTAATCAGTAACTTCTTACCTTCATGCTTATATGTCATTTCTTGGCAGCCAGAAAAATACAGGCACACCAAAGCACAGAGGCAGATAAAAAAAGAAAAGTATAAAACAAGAAATATGAACTCCATCACACCAGTGTGCAGGCTTTCCCCTGTTGCAAATGCAGTTTATTTTTTAAAGTTTAAGTAAAAAATCAGGTCTGTAGAGACCTGCTGTTTCCAAAGAAACTGAGCAATAATGCTTTATTTTTGAAAGCATAACATCATCAATCATAGAATCATAGAATTCCATTCTTTGGGTGCAAAACAAACAAACAAAAAACAACACTTTCCAGATTTCCTTCGTTATATCAATTCCAGAACAGGGCTGCGGGAGGCAAAGAAAACACCATGAAAAGGGAAGGAAAAGAAGATTCACATCTTGTACGTCTTTCTCCTAACAAGTGACACATTAACAAAAAAAAAACAAACAAAAAAACAACTCTATTTTCTTAGGCTTTCCTTCAGAGAAAAATACCCTACCGTACTTGAATATCCACAGTCATTATATTACTCACTCCTCTAAACACAATCAACAGAGATTGTAAAGCCTCATCCCACTGTGCTGCTCCTTTCCTCAGGGGCACCTGAGCTGGTTGCCAGTGCTCTCCTATGGACACCTACGTCCCTTGGTAATTGCAAGAAATCTCAGTTAAAGCTACACTAGCAACAGTAACCTAGTGCAATTATGGTACTCCAGAAATAACATAGATATCTGATTGTAAAACAAAACATTTAAATCCTTAGTACTTCCAAAAGCCTTGCAGCTGAACTAACATTATCTAGACACAGTAGGGCTACAAAGGCTATTGGATTAGCCTTGACAGATCATTCACACAAATCTTAAAGACCAACAAAGTTGTGCCATGGATTTTGTTATACCTAGCAGGAATAGCTGTTAGGAAAATACTTGTAATAGAAATGTCCACATACTGGACATTATCTAATCAGAGTATCACAAAAATTAAGGAAGCTAGATTATAAGTGTATACCCCCCCTTTGAGGAAAAACTGCAACAGTGCAGGAGTAAAAGAGAATCATGGAATCATGGAATGGCTTGGGTTGAAAGGAAGCTTAAAGACCATCCAGTTTTCATCCATGCTGCCATGGGGGCAGGGTTGCCAACCACTAGACCATGTTGCAAAAAGTCTCATCCAACCTGGCTTTAATCACCTCCAGGGATGGGGTATCCATAGATTCTATGGGCAGCTTGTGCCAGTGCATCATCACCTTCATAGTGTCCCACCTATGCTCTTAGTTCCTGGTTATTAGAAGAAAAAAATGAACTTTCTACACATTCTAATATAAGCTTATCTGACCAGAGTCATGAAACCTAACTGTCATCAGTTATTTCCTTTTCCACATTATCAAGGAGAGTCACAGCTCTGGGAACAGATCCAACTCCAATAGCCAAACCTGGTAATTCATTGGTGCTAATGATGCATGTTAATGCTCAGAATTTCACATTTAACAAATCTTAGAAAAGCAAAGCCAAGAATTTACATCAGTAATTTCTCCTTCTGAGTGGTTGGCAGGACAGATACAGTCATAACTTCTTCTACTGCTATATAGGTTATCATCTGTAGGATGTAAAAATCTCACACAGATCATAGACCGAAGTACACTTTCACTGTTCATGTCTCTATAGAAAGTAATTCATCCTAGACTGCATTTGAGAGAATGCAGTCATTTGAGAGAAGTAGATATTTTCAAGACAAAACTCACATGTCCTGTTTAGGTACCTGCTTCCAGAGGAGAGCAATCAAAACATTACAGCTCTGTAAGATACACTCAGAGTGAGATGTCTATATCTCACCACTGTTAGTGACTTCTGACATAGCATTTGATTTGATGAATTTTACAATTTTCAATCCAATTACTGACACAGGCTGTAAAAATTGAGATGATACAATCCCCACAAGACATCTGGGTGAGTAATCCGTTCTGCATAGTTATAGTAAGTAAAAGAGAGCAGGAAATTTACATAGCCTTGAGGATTTTGATTTATCTTTCTGATTTAGCACCTAACTAGACTCAAACCATTTTGATTCTCCCTTCATGAAATGTGATCTGCATGAAAAAAAACAAGAGAAATTCCTGACCTGAGCTAACTTTTTGAAATTCCTGCTAAACTAAGAAGCTATTCAGGCACAACTAAAACAAAGAACATTTTGTAGAAGATCTTTGAGAAGATTTTAAATGCTTTAAATTTTAAAGCTTTTCAATACAGTTGCCTATGTAGATTCAAGCTATGTTGCCCCTAGATAATAAAAATACAACAAAATTTCTTCGGCTTATAACAGTGATTAAAAAAACAAGGTATAGAATGTTAAAATGCATTTACAAGTATATTATTTAGCAATAGCCTTGATGAACAAAATGAAAGAAAATAGTTGGACATTAAGGGGTTTTGGATGGTAGAAGAGCTGGATTTTTCACTGGTGGTGGTTTTTATAGGTTTTGAAGATTTATTATTTTTATTTCAGTTAAAATCTCAACTCCAACTGTAACTCAGTATATTTCTGTGGAGAATCAGAGTGAGGAATAACAATTTGATCTTAAACTGTACAGCAAAAGAGCAAACTTACATGATTTGATACTAAGATACAATGACAGATTAGCTGTGCCTAGCTTACTTTAATGCCCTTCAAAATCATGCTTCACACATAATATTCAATGGCACATAATAAATTTATCCTTGTGGAAGAATTCAGTTTCACACTTTTGCTTCATCCACACTTCTGTATCAGGCGCCATTTTGTCAGACTGCCCCTCTGCTGCCATCTGCCACATGGCAACAAAATGTAACAGAATATTGGTAAGAAGGTCCACCCTTTATTGCCATACCAACATCTGCCTCTGATATTTTGGGCCAACATAATCAGATGGGAGGCATTACTTTTGAAGCAACCCATCACATGCAGAAAGTCCTATTTTAAAATTGTTCATAACAGACAAACTCCTGGGTACAGTACAACAAGCAAAAATATTTAGCTTACTAAAAATACATTCAGCCTCTATCAGCCTTACATTATGTAAAAGTAGAAGATATGCAAGATTTATCATCTTGCATCATGAATTTTTCTTTCTTTATATGACAAAGACACATCACTATTAGAAGTATCACTTGAAGAATTATCACCAACTCAGAGAACAGGAAGGGATAATTCTTTCAGAATACATAGAACACAGAGCTATAAAAATGCACCACCTGGAGGTCATCAGAAGTACAGTGCTGAACACTGACAACTAATGTAATATTCATTTACAAAAGCATGCATCTTATACTGTCATATACCTGATAATAACCTCTCCACTCTTCACTTCCATTTTTTCCCTCCTATCCCATTCTCCTCCCCTCACATGCTCCAGGCTGTTAATGTTCAGCTTTGCAAAAATAAAACAGTATTCAGCAAAACCAATTACTTCAAAACACATTAAAATAAGCACTGAAGGCACGGTTTGAAACAAAATTTTCAATTTCTGAATCCTATTTTTTTCACTTTGCACTCTAGAGTAAAGTAGTTACTAGAGAAAAATAGTTACATATATTTTTTCTATTTTTACCTACAGAAATATCATTTCATTCCTAGCATGAGCTACAGTTTTCAGTTGCGATTAAGCAACAACTTTCTGCAAGTACTTTAAAGGGCTGTATTTTCTGTAAAATTACACTTCAAATCATTATATCTTGTAGGCCTCAAGCCACTTGAACATGTAGGTCACAGTGGCTAAAACCATGATTTTTTATGCTTTGAAAACAAGCTTAAACACAGTTCAAATCTTAGAGCTCCTCCATCGTCCTTAGGAAAAAGTTAATAAACAACAAAAGAAAACAGGAGAGTTACATGAAATTCTACCATTAATTTAAATAGAGCTCTAATTTTGGGTAGTATTTGAATATCTGCTGTTCACAACAACCAGAATGCGCAGAAAATGAAGGTTTGCTCACCTTTTGAGGTTTCAGAATTTTCTTCTTCTGTTTCTTCGATCGCAATAGCCGTTCCCTTTCCTAAAAGAAAAGATAACATTTTGGTGTAGATTGCTTCTGAAATATACATATAGATAGATATGTTTAACACAAAGAAATTTAACAAGTTTCTTGAAAGCTGAGGTAAAGCCAGCACAAACACAACGTCTTTATTCCCTCAGACTACACCATGTTGGTGTCACACCACACTGTACTGCAGTTGTATCCCTTTAGCAAATAAACATTCAGCCACACACTTTACATGCTTGATTGGAAGTTGGCAGGAAAAGGCTTTGCTAAATATTGGGCACAGATTTCTGGCAGTTCCTTTGACACTTCTACTGAAAGGCTCACTATGGAAACAGAATTATCTTTCTCATTCCAACATTCAATCGTCCTGAAGATGCATGTTGGTAGGCAAAAAAGAATCTCAGCCAGATACAATGTTATGTGTAATTTATAGGGAGAAATAGGCAAAATTCTCAAGTGCAAAGGCATTTTTTCATCAAGAGAAATCAGGCCTTAGCCTGCATCTAGTTTCCAACATGGCCATGGAACAATATAGTACTTTACTACGTTATGAAAAATACTGGTTTACAAACATTCAAGCACAAGATTGTTGCCTTAAATTTAAAAATTCAAAATGAATGTAAGAAATGCAGAGATTGTGGAGAGGGGGAAGGGAAGGTGACAGCAGGTGATCTATCTAGCTTTACATCTTTGCAACATTTCTACTTTTAAAAGACCAATAGCAGCTGTAAGTTCATCCCTAGCAGTCATTGCTCACAGTGTATTTTCCTATTCGGAGTTATTCATTATACATCACATTCAGTTCAGAAACAGAATGGGAAGCTCCAAGTAGAAATCAAAATAAACTAATTCATTTTATAAGTGCACTGTTCCAATAAAGAAGTTTTGGAAAAAAAGAAATAATTCAGAAATTTTTATAGCACCTTTAATACACATGGCTTTCAAAATATGGAAAAGTAATGACTGCCAAGATAGACTGAAGATATCTCACAGTATAGGAAAATATAATGCATTAAGTTAAAGCTGTAAACACAAAGCTACATTTTAGAAAATGTAGAAAAACAGTGTTCACTCCTCAGAGAGTGAGTTAAGGCACAGTCCCTGCTTTAACAACAGGTCTCAGGCATCCAACTCTGCTGTTCAAATTATTGGAGAAATGAAATATTCTTTCTCTCTTTCCTTCTCTTTCCTCTTCCACCTCCGCAGAACTAAACAAACTCTTCCTAAATACCCCGACTTTTCCTGTTTCTGATCTTTTGTAAGACTGCTCAATCTACTTTCTGTCGCAATATTACTTCAATTCATCAGAACTAAAATAACATCAATTAAAGAAAAACTATCTACTGAATCACTTGTGTGTTTTGTAAGCATCTGAGTTTATTCTGACAATTTTCCTTTTAAGAACTGGCCAAGAAACCATGGTTATGGGAGAACTCAAGTTGATAGGTCTCCAACAGCATCACAGATACTCTGGAACTGACGATGTAAGTCAATTCAGACAGCCTTATTGCTGTCGACTATCTTTCTTTTATGTGGGTATCATACTGTACTCAGCTGTAGTTAAGATGATGACTTTTGTGTTAATCAGGCATGTGACGTGGGTCATTCTTTTTGATTCATTTTATTTTCCTGAGGCAAGAATTGAACCAGAAAATATAGCTAAAAAGCACAATGGCACTGCAGAGTGCCCCGCATTCATGTTGAAGGCAAAGCATCAATTAGTTTGTACTGACAAGCAAAGCAGTGCACTGGCTTACAATTTCACTTAGTTCTGCAGCTAAACGACATCTGTACATAGGATAAGAAGTAACCAAATATGAGACCATATTTTGCAATGCTTATTAATCTTATTTTCACACTAAATATAGTTAATGTTAGTTGACCAAAGTTAGGTTACAATATATTTCCTCAAATTACTGGGTCACATCCTCTTCACAGTGAAATATAGGTGAGGTTATGTCTGCCTATATTGGAAATTTAATGTAATGAGATAGTCCCTGTCTGTAGAGTTGCATTTTGAAGGTAAAGAAGCATCTCTCTGTGAATCAGCATTGGTGTCTGGATAACATCCCACTGCTCATAACACTGCAACACTGGGCAATGCACACAGACATCTTTGGCAAGATTACAGAGAGAAATCCTTGGTCAAAATCTGGGGTGAACTGCCAAGAATAGAGTTCCAGACCAAGTAATAACACATCATATTGTTTAAAATTTTTATCTTCTATTTTTATTTTCTGTTTTATTTTCTAATTTGAGTGTTCTGATTGTTTAATCTCTTATTTAGACAGAAAGGGCTCAAATTTGTTTCATCATTATGTAGCTTTCATAGTGCTATTTCAGATGCCATAGAACAGTCTGAGTTCCAGATGCTGCTCCAGATGCACATGACTCTCAGAGATGGTACGTAATTTCTGCCACCAGCACCTGAATGGTGTGTCCCTGTGTCCAAAATAATACTAAGCACCTCTAAGCAGCTGAAATGAGTCCCAAGCAGTGCAAAAACCTATGAGCATAATCTTAAGTACTTTTCACAGTCAGACGGTAGCAACTGTGCAGTTGTAATAAAATGCTACCTTTGGTAAAATGAATCATATATATTTCTATTTGCTATAAGAACAGAGCATGGGCAGTTCAGTTAGGTGGAATTAATGTCATTCTGTACATTCCTTTGTTTTAGGAGAAATTCTAGGTCAAATGAGTAGCTGAGTTTACAGCAGGATCTATACCCAACATGTTTCAGTTATTAAGTTCTGGAATCACAGAATCACAGAATTGTAGGGGTTGGAAGGGACCTCCAGAGATCATCGAGTCCAACCCCCAATGTGTCCTTTCCTCCAGGCTCCTCAGTTGCCAACATTCAGTTTCGTAAGTAAAGTGAATGGACTGATGCACCTCTTTCCATAAGCAGTCCATAATTGATAAACACATACACACTGCAAAGAAATTCATTCAACATGTGGGAAATAACAAGAACAGTTCAATGCCAAAGAATTTCTTCTATGCCATTACTACAACTGGAGTTAAAATATTGCTCTCCAGTCTTCAGCTTGCCTACCAATGTATATGCATACATGAGTGTACCAGACATGAGAAGTATTACCACTGTGAGATCATCAATAACATGCTGCTTTTCTTTGACTTGCAGTCGAAGAAATTCAATTTCTTGTTCATCCCGTGTGCTGCTAAGATCGTTTAAAGATGTGTGCCTCTTCAGCACTGGTTGTGCAGATAATTTTTCTTTCTACAAAAGTTAAAATAAAATTTGTTATTAAACACAAAGAATTATCTTTCCATGAACATAAGAGAATTCTGGTGCATGATGTAGCAATCTATAATTCTTCAGACTCATTCATATTCCACTACAGCATAAGGCCTCTTTCACCAGCTAAATAAATATGCCGTATGCCTTAGTGTTAGTACTTCACATAAAACATTGTAGAACAGAATCAAAGAACATAGTCTGGAAAAAAGTCAGCACAGGCAGCCTGATATCCTATAGCAGTAGAGACTTTGGCAAATATACCTAAAGTCTGTTTTGACCTTTAATCAGGAAAAAAAACCAACATTCTTTCATAAAGCTGATTTTCAGTTGTACATTTACAGTATCCAAATATATCTTTATCTACTCATGATCCTTTTCCTTAATGAAGGCAAACTGATACAACTCAGTGACACAAAGGAATACCACTCTGTACTGAGATTGTGAATATTCAACTGCGTTGGCTGACTCGGGCAGCTATATCATCCCATTGTTGAGACTCTGAAATGCCTATCAGAAAAAAAAGCCTCACGAGCATTTCCACCTCCAAGTACCTGAGTTGTCTTATAACATGATATCAGAAATTATTACTTACCAATTCTACATTTTCCCTTGATAGGTTTTTTATTTTTTCTTCCATTCTCTGGATGCACTGCATCATATCATCATTTTTTTTGCTCATCCTCTTATTTTTTTCAACCAAAGGCTTTAGCTGACTTTCTGTCTCCCGAGAACGTTTCAGCTGCAAATGGCAAAGGAAGAAGCTAAGCTGTGCTTTAGTATATAGTTTTAGGAAAGAATAAATGTGTGAGTATTCTCTTGCCCTTTCCATTCATTAGAAAGTTTAGTTCTTTTCTTAAGTAGCATCTGGTACAGACTTCTGTACTAAGAACTACAAGAGTCCAAGCAAATAAGAAATAGCTCTGGTCCTTGGATTTTGCTTCTTACAAAACATTTATGAAGATCTGTAAACGTGATTTCTTGATAAACTAAACTTGCTATACGTAAGTTTCTTGTGAGCCAGTATACATACAGGGTCATCATCTTTCACCAACTTAACTACCCTTTAGTAAACGCTTCCTGCTCTACTTTGAAAAACCTATACCTAGTGTGTAATTAGAGAAATACAAGAGGCAGCCAGAGGGCACAGATTCAATCTCAGCATTCTGCTGACATTTCCAAGCTGTTCAGCTTTGCTCCTGTGGTCTTATTATATTAGACAACTGAATGAAACAAATTACTGCTCTTTCCTGTGTTTGTGTGTATTCAGTATTTCACCACTTTTGTTTCATTATTCCTTGAGTTGTTTTCTTTGTTTTTGTTTTTGTTTTTTTCCACACAGTGCTTAATCACAGGAGCATGTTGATGTCACTAGTTTTATGTAGTATTGTCTCAAAATATGACAAAATTCCAAACTATGTTTCTGAAACCTCAAAGTCAAGCATCAAGAAGAGCTTTTGACTGAGTCATACATGCCTTCCATTTAGAGGGACACTGCAGTAAAGATGTTGCAGTACTTTAGCATTCTTCAGGGATGTTTTGACTGACTTATGTCCACAGAAAGGATTAGGAGGCTGAATTATCTTGTCTTTAATAATGCAACCTTGAAAGAAAGCATGATGTTCTTGTAAGTACAGAGTAGAGGAAAGCAACTGTACTGGTAAAAGAAAAAGAAAAAAAATAAAACAAAAACAGAACTAAAAAAAGGAAAAAAAAAAAAAGAAAAAAAAAAAGCAGCACACTACCCAGCATCTAGGCAAAGTAGTGAAAATCGCTAACAGCATCCCAATTAAAAAGTGTGTTCTTACATAGCTGTCTCTGGGGAAAGGGAGTTGTTTGTTTTATGTTGTTCTTTTAAAATTCGCAATTACACTCTCAAGTCATCCAGTTTTACTATATTACGGTTCAATTAACTTCACTAGTCTAGATTCAGCCAAGACTTCGGACAAGAAAGTTTCAAAAATTAGTTTTGATAATCATCAAGTTATCACAACTAAATTAAGTCCCTTTATCATAAAATAAATCCTCTGATCTCAATATGAAAAACTAAGTCCAACAAAGAATAAGAACAGGCCAATGCTGCACTCAATATGCTGGAAGGAAATTGTGCCCTCACCATACATAATAGCATTACTTTTGAATCAGAAACACAGGTTGCGTGAAAGAAAAATTCTACTTAATTCTACTTAAAATGAAAAATCCTTTCTATTTCCATTAGGAAAAGTGCATTATAACAGGACACATATAAGAATGCATACTGTTAAAACTCAGTTTCACAGTCCATGGGAGTTTTCCCATTAATCTCATTACAAGCAATTAAGTAGCAACGCAGGCTAATAGAATTCATTCTTAAAATTCATAGCCTTTCTTTAGTAAGTTACTATCATTCTCCTAGGATATTTTCACCTACTTAAGAGACTTCCCTTGAGAAAGATGGCAGATTTCACATCTCCAGACCAAAAACACTTTTTAATTCTCAGCTAGCATAAGCATGTCACAAAACTATTGTTCAATTTGCCTATTACCAAGATTAATACAGTAATTTAAGGGCGTGGATTATGCATGTTTTACACAACATCATTAGACAGTGCCACAGGCAAACTAACAGTCAATTCAGTTACAATGACACCAAAATAAATATATAAAGCTTTATTTCTCCGAAACAAAAGAGATTCCATCTCTGTCTATGGTGACAAAGTAAATATCCATAGAAAAATCTCTTATCTTTACGTATAATTGATTGTGTCCAACCAGGTCTAATTTGTAAATTATTTATAACACTGACTTTTCAGCATTAATTCATTTACCATAAAAATGTCCTCCCAGTCACCATCTGTGTTATTACTAATTAATTTACCAGTTCATTTCTTTCATCTGCTAAGAGAGTATTTCTGTCTTCCAGCTTCCTTATCATAGCATTCAGTTCAGCGATTTTCAGCTGAAATCTCCTCACATCTCGTTCATCCAAATGCTGCTCCTTTGCATCAAAGACATATAGATATATAAAATTATCTTTAAAAAGACAATTCATAAATGTAATATCATGCTTTAGCAAGTAGATTGTATAAATCTAAAGTAGACTCTTACATCAGTGTTTGGAAAACTTATTTTAATTAACTGAAAGACTAAACAGCAACATCCTGTGTAAATGCTACATGATACCTTACCTGAAATGGGTCTACTTGACAGATGTATGTAAAGAGTTAACAATATTTTTTAAAAAGCTAGGTATAAATAATTCATTCATGACTTGTAAATTCTAGCACGATTTATAACCATTAGCTAGAAGAAATCTAGTGCGTATTACATAGGCTAAAAGCACTTGGAACAGTTTTGGAAAATGATAGTACATAATTTCCAAAATTATGAAATAACTAACTCCAGAAAAATAGAGGGGTTCTAGACAAAGAAGGGCTGTTTTTAATCACAGATAACAAGTTCATGGTTGAAGCTCATCATGTAAGCTCTAAAAGTTCTGTGTTCACCTATTTTTCAACATTCTTTGAAACTGAAGATGTCCAAGGATTTTCTCACTCACGAGCAAAACACTACACGCAGTTCTAGACCACTTACTGTGAATCAAGCCTTTTAGCGTTTTATAAGTAACCACAAAATCAATGTGAATACATAGGCAATATTTGCCCTATGCTGGCCATTTGAAGGAGACAGGATTTTCTTACCGGGCTTCCCATCAACTCGGTGATGTCCCCCACTCCTGCAGGAAGTTCTCTCTTGGGGCTGCTGTGGTACCGCTCTGCCTCCTTCACTTGGACAAGCTGCTCATCCAAAGCTTCTTTCTGAAGGAGGAGTTTCTGTGTATGTCCTGCCTGAATGCCAAGGTCTTTCTCCAGAGCCAGAATCACTCTATCTTTGCCTTTGATCTCATCCATCTGGAAAGAAATATAGCAAGGAAGTTTCTATAACATCCCCAAGTATGGACATGCTGCATACATATCCATAAACCTGCAAAAAGAAAAAAAAGTTCTTTTTCTATTAGATTAATACCAGAGTGGCTGCTAAAAAGAAAGATCTCTCTCCTCTGAAGCATTTTCCCCTCCCCTTAAAAAAGTTTCAGCTCTCACTTGACAATGAGCTTGCCGGATGCAGTCTCAGTTCAAGTGGAAAACAAAAATAGATGCAGACATACATTGAAACAAAATATATAGCCACTGAGATTGTCCATTTCACTTGCAAATACACACCTTAATAATAGAAATCTCCTTTCACCATGTTCCAGAGAAGCAACACATGGCTAACATAAAGTAAGAGGAGCAGACCCTTTAAAACTCACATAAGCTTTGTTTTGAAATTTAAGCAATACACATTTGCCCATGTTGACTCTCTCTATTAGTCAGAAATTACACACAGTGAATCTCTTCAGAGGTTTTAAGATCAATGAACAGACACACAATCACATTGCAACTTAAATCCTTAAGTGTGCCTAAGCATTTTGTCTGCCTTTGCTAGTTTCCAGCTGGAAGGAGAAGAGCAAATACATGCAGAGCTTTGGATAGAATAAATAGTAGGGAAAACTAGTCTTTAAACAGCATCTATGGTTATTGGACTGCTTTATTCATTCACCTTGATACCAAATAAAGCATACTCTTAGCAGGGATCTATTGCAGCTCTCATAAGATTTGTACCTCACATCATCAGTGTTACATTCATTTTGGTAGTATTCCAAAAGCCAGAGGAAGTGACAATCTGCAGCAGTTACTATAGAAACCACTTTCTTAACAAGAATATTAACCATTAATTATATATTCATTAAAATTGTACCATCTCCTTTAGTCTACGAAGTCATTTTCTTGGCTATCTAACTCATGGAGTTTTGGAAGAGTATTAAAGCCTCACATAAAGAGAAAAAAATCACAAACTGTATTGTTTATTGCTATTACTTTATTATTTGTTATAGTCCTATACCTATATATCCTTCAGTCAAGTTTCAACCGTACCACTTCATCCTCCCCCAAAAGTACAAAGAAAATGAAATAAAAATAAGTTTAGAAATAAAACTTATAGTCAAGTCTGACAGTCTGAGTGCTGTACAGGATTAACACAATCAAATTATGTGATCAGATATAATATAACTTCTTCAGGATTCTCATTTTGCTCTTTTCACAGTCTACAAAGCATGTGAAATTAGTTTGCGTCCAGGATCTGTATGGCAAGGGATAGCTTGATTATTCCAATTAAAATGCGATTTAAAATAATCAGCAGATTTGAAGTGAATAAACTGGTCTGGACTGCTCATAAATTGCAATTATTTGTTCTAATGCAGATTTCCTTCCTGATCTGGGGAGGCCAGAAAGATCTCAGTTCCTCATCCAATAAATGGAGTTATTATATTCCAGCAAGTTAATTTAGATTTGTGTCACTTTAATTATGTCAAAAAGAACTTCCAGGACAAGTATGCAGTTTTTATTAATGGAAGAATTTGCGACATGCAGGATTTCAGAAGGACTGTGCAGTGAACAGCAATGACAAAAATTAAGCAGCTGCCTCATTCACTGACTGCTATCTATCATGCACGCTGATCTGTCACGGGTCTCCCTTCAGAGGAAAAAATGTCATGTAACTAAATACCATGGACAAGGTTTGGCTCACTGTTACACAGGTGTTCATTCTGAAAAAAATGGAACAGAAGTTGGACTATGCAAGGCATACACTTCACAAGGAAGAACAAACGTTATGTAGGCAGCATAGATTATAGTCACCCAATTAGTAGCACATTTTGTACTCTTGATATTGTCACAACTTAAACGCTAAGTGGAATGATGCAGGTGTTTAAGTTGAAAGAAAAAAATGGAAAAATTGCAGTACAGACTGCTATTTGATGAACTGTGGCAGAACAGATCTTTTGAAGTTTATCGTCAGTGACATTGCACCCAAGTCATCCTTCCACATGCTTCCATCCATAAAGATTAAACACATTGGAACAAAATTGCGTGATGGAGCTTTTGGACAGGACTAGGGGAAGGCAAGGAAGAAGGCAGAATTCCCCTTTGGACTTCCTAGTTTTTCTTCTACAAAAAAATCTACATGTGGTGAAACTAAGAAAAAAAGTTTCAGTCAAATAGAAAAATTACGGATACATTGATAATAGCGATATAATAGTCATTACTACAGACCCCTCTCTATTTGAGGACCTATACCTTAAGTTAGAGACACAGCAGAGCATCTCTTACATTAGTAAATGCGCATAAACACATGGAACATAGAAACATAACATGTGCATAAACAGGAAACATAGCAGTGGTGCTAATTTCATTACAAGAACAAACTAGAGGAATTTCTAAGCAATTTTACTCCAGTAACTCAGTACAACCAGAATGATACGAATAGAAGAGCAGCAACAACACCTCTGCCTTGAATTGTTTTAGCTATTTAGTTCGCAGTATAACTTTCTTTTCCTGAAAGGAGCAGTCACATGTTTGATGTCTTCAATATAACTACACCAATCCAATCTCTGCCTCACTTTTCTTAAATTTACCCTAATACTTAAATTTTCCCTAATACCCCTAAATTTTCCATCTTTCTTCTGACTTGCACATTACACAGTAAGCTTATTCATCTTTCTGCCTGCCACAGTGTGCATGCTGCTGCCAGTGATTATTTCCTTAAGCCAAAAACTCCCACCTCTGGATTACTATGCTTTGGCTTTTACTACATTAAACAAAAAATTTACACTTGTTCTCAATGATAGGCCCAAACTATAGTCCATTTATCCCTTATCAAATATTAGGTTGCCACATCCTCGTTCTTTTAGCAGCTTGCCATGTTTGCAGGCAAGCATTTTCATGTCTTCTCCCATGCTGCTTTTCCTGCTTAAGGGACTCAGCACAAGTAACACATTTGGTTACCAGACTAACCTCAAATTCCTCTTAAATCTCTCCCCTTTTTTCGTACTTGTAAAATGGAAAAAACAATAAAAAAGCATCAATATGTAACAGTAATTACACTGCTGAGAATCGAATCTATTTTCTGGTCATCTAACAGCTTATCTAAACTAGCAAATCCCTGGAAACCTAAGAGGTGGGAAGTATTTTTTCAGGAATGCAGAACTTTCTCTACTGGAAGTTTAGGTAAGCCAATTCCAGCACTGAGCTGAAGCTCAGTGGATCAGTAACTCTGGGTGGATCAAGTCACACTTGATTCTTTCCCTGATTCTGAGCAAGATTTTCCATTCTTCCTCAACCCCTCATTGTCCAGGGAGCCACAGCAGGTGCCTACATGAGGTTTCTGCATCTGTGGCACAGCGTAGCTGAGCTAAGCAACACACAGCAACTGAAAGCTGACTACATTGCTCTTATACTTGTGTATTCCTTCCTGTATAATCATTTAAGACCTTACAGTAAGGTACAAAGGTAGGCCATCTTTTATTCCAAAGTATTTAAAATAATTAGATCCAATCCATAAATCGGGCTCACAGATATGCTGAACCAAACATATACCAGAAATTCCTTCCAGCTGGCCGTTTCAATTGCTGATTTGGTCTCAGATCTAAAACATTGCTTGCTTTTTTTTTGTCTTTTTTTTTCAGTTATGTAGTACAACAGGAATGCATACATTCTTTTGCATTCTATTTTGCATGGATTTTAAAGCATTTAAGAAATGTCACATTTTTAATGCAATTAAGCAAGACACAATTCAGCATGAAAAGCTTATGATCAGAAGGAAAGAGAGTAACAAAAGGTTAAAACTTATTTTCATTTACATGCTTTGAGAAGTAATAGAAATCGCATCAGAAAGAGAGTTGTAAAGAAAATAAGATCTACAATCAGCAGCTGCAGAGCGTGTTACTACAAAATCACTCTGGAGTTGTTGGTTAGAATCACAGTTTTCTAAAGTATCATTTCTTAATTAACAAGTTTTATAGTATCAAACAGTAGCTGCTGAACACAGCTATCACCTGCATTGCACCAATGTAGGACCAGCATTTGTAGCCTATTCCAAAATTACATAGTTTTCTTAAAAAATAAAAAGCATTTTAAAAAACATTCTAAAATCTAAAATAAATTATCAAAAATAAGTGTTTTAATAACGTTTACCAAACATGAAAGAAAGCTAAGCTAGTCACTGGAAAATGTATCTATGTGCCAATTATCCCACACTTCAAGAGCTACAATAAGTCAGAGATGTCTGGGGGAACTTTAGCTTCTCACGAAGTTGAAAGAGAAATTCCCAGGGAATTAATAGCTAGCTTTAACAAGGCAGTAAGATGCTCAATTTTCAAGTGGAAAAAGCCAGCTGCTGCATGGCCAAGTGTAGGACACTTCTTCACTTGTCCGTATCAAAATTATCTGGTAGCCAATTGCAGAACAGCATTCTGTAACTTTTTGCTCCAGAAGAAATCAAGTTCAAATTTATCCCGAACATTTGATGTTTAAAAAAAAAAAAAAAAAAAAAAACACCACAACAACAACAACAACAAAACAAAACAAAAAAGCTTATCTTGGTAGGAATGCTTGTTACTGAGAAAGACAGACACATAACAGAAGCTACTCAATTTTTTCAAGATATTACTTACAGTTAGTTCTACATTTTAAATTTCACGGGATCACACTGTTGTAGGGAATGGAAAGGATCCTCTAGAGATCATCGAGCTCAAACCCCTGCTGAAGCATTTACCTATACTAGATTGCACAGGAAGGTATCCAAATAGGTTTTGAATACCTTCACAGGAGGAGATTCCACAAGCTTTCCAGGCATCCTGTTCCAGTTCTCCATCACTCTCACAGTGAAGAAGTTTCTCTTTAAGTTCATATGGAACTTTCTGTGTTCCATTTGTGCCTTATCCTGTTGCTGGGCACCACTAAAAAGAGACTGGCTCTGTCCATCTGACTCCCATCTTTAGGTATTTATAAGCGTTGATAAGATCCCACTTCAG